AGACAGATTAAGTTCTCCATGTACTCAGAGAACTGTTTGCCAAAAAACATTTTAAAATGTGATTAGCTATTTATTACGCTCTAATATCATTTCACAGGTTGCTGCTAATTTTAATCCATCAAAGCAAGGTTTTATATCATCTGACAGATTTGGTTTTCAGCCCGACGGCTGTGTGTGCAGAGTGTAGGAGGACCGTCGACGTGGCTTCTGCTGGCTGGCTCCTGGTGTGGTGTGATGTGCCTGCGAGAACACATTCAAGGTTGCATCCTCACTGTTACACCAGAGAGGTTTGTGCCGATCCAGTTAAGAAGCAGCGAAGGTAGCAGCTTGTTTTATGAAGCATTATGAAACCAACCCTTTAGGCATATGCCTATAGCACCATGGTCATTTGAGCCCAAATCTCAGAGAGTATGTACTGTGGAACATTAAATCATCTAGGATGATTTAATTCAATCATCATTAAATACCCCAATAGAATATAAACATAAACATCTAGGAATAAAACCAACAACAGCGTTATTAGCTGAAAAACTCTTCCTCCTGGGTGAAAATCCTAAGAGTTGTAGGCCTCTGCATTCTGTTGAGTGTTGATGAAAGTATATAAGATTACCCTGGTACAGCCCATGTGTCTACAGACATACCTTATAAAAGATGATCCTCTATTGATGGCATCCTCTACTTGAAGGGCTCTTCACTGAAGCCCAATAAAGAATTGAGACGGGGTGGGGGTGGGGGGGGCTTAAAGTTCAAGGGAACTACTTCAAACACAGCATTGTCCTCTGACAGCCCTTCAAATAAAGGACTATTCTCTGTAATTAAGGACACATGACCAACCTAGTGGCCAGACAAAGGCTGTGGATGGAGTGTAATGCCTTTCACCTGCTGCCTTAATCTTGACAAATTAATTCTAATTAAGCAGTGGGAAGGAGAATGGGATGTACTGAGGAACAGGGTTCTCTTTTCTGCAAATAGAGAGCCAGATGGCTGTCAAGAGTGGGATAACATGGGAAAGTAGAGAGACCAATGCCATGTAAGGGATTGGAGAAGCATGATCCTATGTTCAGTGGAATTGCCCTGCTTTGCAGTGTTTCAGAAGTGGATAGAAATGTTGAAAGCTTGTGATGGAAACATGTATTGTCTGTCAGTCTTCTGACCTAGTAGGCAATTCCAAATATCAAGGGAAAGAGGAGTAAAATTCAGAGCTCCAGGTTTATAGAAGAAATAGCCTCTCCATCATTTAGAGCATTTGCCTGGATTTCTACAACTGAACTATTGAATTGGAAGGATTATCACAAAACCGCTAAGCATTCACCTGGCCCTGATTGAAAGATTTGGTGCAGTAACACAAGATAGTGTGGTGTGGAAGCCTCATGATTTGTGGGGAAATCTTCTGGAAAATAGAGCTAGGAAACAGAATCTCTCTCTCACTTGGTCTGCTTCTTACTGAAAGTTCATTAGGTGTCTGCAGAGGACCTGGCTCAGGCCCCAACTGTTCCTTAGCAAAATAACCTTAGTTCTTCAGTTGGCCACAGGTGATACGAACCACAAACTCTTTTCTGCAGTCACATTATGAAAATATGACTGGGGGATAGTTCAACCATAACAGTAAGTCAAAAATGTGAATTCCAAGTGTTGTGAACCTAAATTGTCAGTGGAGGGATATGTAAGATTTCATTCAGAAAACTGCCCGTGTGAGTATGAGGTCATGGCTGCCTCCTCACTTGCTGGAGATGGAAGATTATATTACAGGTAAACTGAATGGCCTGAAAAGCATGAAGTAGGTCTGGTTAGTTGCCACATGGGCAGGGCTCTGTTTCTTCCATGGAGCACCTATTAGGCATGAGAAGTCCACTGCTTTTTGCTTACTGAGCCCTACGTGACTTGGGACCAGGATATCTGAAGAACTGCTTCCCACATGGATTTCCTCTTCTCATTTTATGGGCAGGGAGGGGAAGAGAATTTCATGTTTTGTCAAACACTGGCTTAGTAAATAGTTATAGAAAAGGAGTATGATTGCCCTAGCTGTTAGGTTTTCATTTAAAAGAAAAACCTTTTAAAATGAGCTGAAAACTGGAGAGAAGCCAAAACCATGCTCCTATTGGCTGACATAATTCTGATTATGGTATGTCAATGCTCTGCTTCCCTTCCTGTTCTGAAGCAGAGACATCAATAATGCAGTTAGGGTTACAATTCAGTTAATGTATCAACAACTTTCATAAACATGTTATTAAAAGGTACCACTGAAATAGTGATGAGCTAACAGATAAACCAGCCAAGATGTAAATTATGTCAATAAAATTGGTAACATGATACAAAACTAGGCACTCACTCTTCATCACCAATTTATTAGAAAATCATTACCAAATCTGCCCAGTCATGTCCATGTTTGGGTGTGAAGGTGTCTTGGTATGACTGTGGTACCTTCAGGTCAACTATCCGAATTACCGTGACAAACCCTGTTTTTTGCCCCTTGTGGTAAGTAAGCCTTTAGGAGAGGCCCTTCTTTTGGCATTACTGCCATGAGGCACATGTGTTTGGGGTATGAGAAACATCTTGGTGGTCACTTCTTGGGCACCACATAAAGTCCTTTCTTTTAAATAACACCAGTTAATGTGTCTTTTAGCTATGTTTTGGATTTTAATATTTGTGTTATTTTAGTTTTTAATGGTGTGTCTGTTTTGTGAGCCACTCAGCGAACATCTATTGTGATGCTATAGAAGCAGAATTAATAAAGCAGAGAGAGCTCGCCAATACACTGCCAACTACCCTCCATAGATTTCCTCACAGAGCATTGGATATGATGCAGCTCAGCCCAATGTCAGACCAAGACCAATCACCAGTGTATAAACTCCACTAGGAATTTTCTCATGAGGAATACCAGGATATAAATGCAACAGAGGCTTTCACATGTTAAGCGCAACTCTCACCGTCCCTCGATACTGGCATACTAGCTAGGGCTGATGGGACTTCCACTCCATCTGTGCATGTGGTGGTGGGGGGGTATAAATTGCAAGTGCTTGACAATAGAAGCCCCTAACTTGGATGAAAGGTTATGTGCTATGGGGCAGACCCCCATGTGGCTCACTCTGATGACAGGCAATGGAATGGGGGGGCTGCTTGTAAGCCTCCAGATGTGACAGATTCTGGGTGTCTTCTGCAGGCAGTTTGCATTTTGCGCACCAGCTGGCTGGTCTAGTGGAAGTGCTTCAGATGGGGAGGGAAAGATGCTGGACTACTGCCAGTATATTTCATACCTTGCTGACTCAGCTCTCTTCTGCTCCCTGCCCTCCAGAACACCTGTTTCACCCCAAATTTTATTTTTATTTTTCAATTTATATCCTGCCTTTTTCCTACAAAGGGCTCAAGGCAGCTTACATCTCCTCCTCCATCTTATCCGCACAACAACCCTGTGAGGTAGGTTGGGCTGAGAGTCTGTGACTGGCCCAAAGCCACCCAGTTGGCTCCATGGCTGAGCGGGGACTCGAACCCAGATCGTCTGAGTCCCAGTCCCGTGCTCTTCACCACTGCGCCACACTGGCTCTCAAATGGGGATGTTCACACAATCTCAGAAGAAGCTGGTCTCGGATTCCCAGCTCCAACTGTGAAGCTCTTTTCCAGGCTCAGATCAGGAATCCGAAGAATTCTGCCTCCCTAGAAGCTGTGTAGTGAGGCATAGGATTTTTCTGTAAATTGACCTTATTGTCCTTATAATAGTCAAAACACTCTAACTATTCTCACAGGAAACAGGCTTAATATCCTTACAACTCTGGAATAAATACCATGTGAATTTTGATCACAGACCTTAAGCTGATATATGCACAATCCTTTCCCTTCATAGTTACGTTAAATCTTGTGCACAGAACTGCAAGGTCATTGAAACCAATGTGTGTTTTTTTCCAGTTTGAGTTGTTCCACATTGTTGTAAAAAGCTGGAATGTTTGAAGTCCTGGGTGGAGTCAAAGAATGAAATGTTCCAAGTGAAATGCTCCTACATCTGCTTCACCTTGTGATGTTTCATAGATTAGCATCAGAGAAGGAATTCAAATTACTGTGCCAACCAAAAAATTCAAATTACCATGCCAACCATCAGTAAATGTGTGTACCATTATTTCAAAATGCACACCTCACATGCAACATAGTGTGAAGTTTTGTAAATTCATACCCAAGTATATTTCAAGCTTAAACTGATCTCTGGATGTGTGTTCTGGGTAAATTGTAAACATTATGAAATATTAAATTTTCATGCATATAGAAAGATAAGTGCAGCTAAAAATGAATTAACATGGTTTCTGCAAAAATAACTATTTCACTGTATTTTCCTGAGTATTTTGAGGGTGTCAGTAAACATGATGACAGTGATCCATTAGGTGTTGTTTACTTGGATTATAAAAGAGCATTTTATGAAGTCCCTCATCAGAGACTCCGGAGAAGCACTTCTCATATGTATTGGAAACTTGTTGAAGAACAGAAAGCAGAGTCCTTGGAAGCGTCTTGGTTGCCCTTTCGAGAGAAAGTTTGCCTCTTCTCGTTCACAAGAATGCAGGGTAGGGCACATAGTCTGCTTGTGGATTTCATATAAGCAGGTGGCTGACTCATGTGTGAACGGAAGGATGGGCTACACAGGCCTTCGGTCTGGTCCAGCATAGCTGTTCTCAGGTTATTACCACCTATAGTCTGCACTGTAACAGTCACAAAAAGTTCTACAATTTCATCTTCTGTTTAAATGTATCCTCCTTTTCAACAAACTCAAGTGGCTTATAAAACAGAAGATAAAAATAAATCACAACAAAATAAACAGAACTACCCAAAATACAGATCTAAAAGGTTGAACATTTTAAATGTTAGCACATAAAGTCAAACCTTTCAGCAGTGTATTAAACCATGAATTATACTTTGAATGATATTTGTAACCTCAAAAGCAATTGAAAAGGTGCACTATGAACCACTTCTAGCACTAGGCCTTATTTTAGTGTTTAAATCAGACAAGGGACAGTATTAAATTATCGTTGAAAGGTTTATTCAATACAAATCTTGTAAACCATAACATTTTTAGAAAATGTGTACAATGTTTCAGAGGTAAAGTGGAAAAGAAGGTAGTTATCAGAATTGACTGCTGCCATAATGCATTAAGATTAATTTTATTACTAATAAGGCTTTTAATGTGTAGAAGGCCAACTGAATTTTTAAACACTGAATCTTTTCAGTAAAAATTTCCAGCATCAGTCCTATTCAACTATATTAATAACATACTATTAAGTAACTGATAAACTATCAGATTTAACATATTTAATAATCCATGCAGATACTTGTTAATTTAACTTTCCGAAACCAACTATAGCACATGAGCCCTCCTGGAATATTAATTCTAACTTGAGCAATATGTTCTTGTGTTTGAAGAGCAGTCTGTGACAGAATTCCTCTAATGTATTCCTTACAAAATATAATCCAATAAGGCTTAGATATTTAAGAACACTGAATTAAATACTCCTCTATTGATAAAACCAGAGTTGAAAATAGATCTATAAAGAAATGGATCACAATATTCCAAATTTCTCAAGACATCTTAAGAAAATTCCTCTATTTTTTACTGCAAATATTCATTCTTTAAAGGAAAACAATATGATTTTACTATGATTTAGTTCCTACCCTTCATCTGTGAAAAACAGTTTAAAGGGAAAAGTTATCTCAGGTTCATTCTGTTTACAACAGTCAGTGGAAGATTGAAGTTTGCCAGTGTCTGAATTAGTTCCTCTTGGCTAAAGAACCACCTATGAAAGATGGCTTGTATTTGGGGATGAAAACACTTGATGACTAACCCTTCAAGTTTCTCAGGTTTGTAAACCTTTTAGTTAATTCATCATCACTCTGAAAACTGCTTCAAAGCATCATGTTATATGCATCTCCCAATCAATTCATACCTTTACTGGAATGAATACTCTGGATGAAAAAGGTCAATTAAAATGGCAGCTCTCTAGTCTACGGAAAACAACTCTGTGGAATGGAAACATTACAAAGCTTGTTCCACAAAGCTTCTATTCATTTCAGTGGCACTTGAGTAGCAGACCTGTAACTTCCCACTTTCTATTTCCTCTCAATACAGAATCAAAGCTCTCTCATGAACTGGTTCAGAAGAGGATCTAAACAACATTGTTCATAATATGGACTGTAGGTTAAGGCACTGTAGATGTAGCACCTTCTCTGCCCATCGCTGGTATGGAGGGAAGGTCTGAAAAGTGCAGCCTGCGCCAAGCATGTAGGCTTCACCCTAGATTTAAAAGCCAGATCAATCCCTTGGGAAAGCCGAAATGCAGATAGGAGACTTCATTCATCAAACACTTCTTCCCACATATGCAGATAATTATTTAGATTATAATCAACAGGAGGAAAACACCTGGAACACTTCTGAATACTGAATCTATGCTTTAGAAAGGGATATACTGTATTTAAACATTTGTAGAATAAATTCTCATTCTGGTGGAACATAAAACCATAAATTACTGCCACATGGATGGACCACCATGAGCTTGGCCTCATGTATTCCCCCCTCCTTCTCTCTTCCTCTTCCATGTGTGTAAGAAGAACAGAAGCTTTTGCAACTCATACTTACAAAAACTAATTTCCCACAATGTCTGTACTTGGGAAACTCTGGTGTGCTTAAACTGTGCTTGGTGAAAACAATCCAGGAACAAACCCGGTTTGAGATCTTGGCTTGTTCTCAGTAACCAATGTAAACAAATCCCATGTTCCTGAGTTCAGACATGATGGGGGCCTGTTTAAACAAAAAGCAGAAGTTTCAAATTTCTTCCTGCAGTACACAAAAGATAATGTTCTACTATGTCCATGATTTTCAGTTATCTCTGAACCAAAACTAAGGCATTGCTTAGTTTGTTTTTGCAGCTTCCTTCAAGTATCTTTGGTTTAAAAATGTGTTGCTGCACACATTTGCATTTTCCTTCATTCATATAGCCAAAATAAAGACGTTGAAACTGCTGTCATAGATAGGAAATATTTTCCAAATTCAAATAACTAATTTTCAAATGCTGATGAAATGCAAAATGAAAGGGGAGAAGGCAGAAAAAGGCCTGGCTTTTAACTCACATAAGAAGAGCACTTTATTTGCATTTAAAAGAGTATCACTGAACCGAGTTCTGCCTACAAGACAGGATAGCGCTTCGAGAAAAGTTATTATTTGGAACCTAGTGGCACCCTTAGTGAGAGCCTAATTACATATTCTGTTAATTGTGCTTGCAGCGGTATCAAGGGATTTTTTTTAAAAAGGCCATTATAAGTGCAAAGGCGATCGATTTCTACTAGGACCACAGCAGGCAGGGAGACCAAGATCTTCCTCTTCAGCTACTATCCCTCCAAAATTGCTGCATCATACTGCAGTTAGTGATAAAATAAAAGCTCCTGTTGGTGTCAATGGGAGCTTTTATTCTAGTGGAATTGTAATATAAAGGGGGTGTTTTTAAATGGGAACTGTGGATGGGGAGGGAAGGGTTAAACCTTCCTTTTCCATGTGCTCCAGCCACAATGGAAGCTTGGGCCCTCTCACCCTTTGGTTTACATTTTTAAAAATTATCTGACAGTGAATATGCCATGTATTTAAGCCCTGAAAGGATGGATGAAAGTCATAGAGAATGTTTCTGAATCCCTGGCATGGGAATCAAGTTTTAAACACTCCTCTGTGTTTAAAAAAAAGGATAAGTATAATTTTGATTCTTATCTAGTCTATGTTTATTACCTTTAAACTGCTTTGCTGTTCACGTATCTGGGTAGAAAGAATAAAACTTGAAGAGACTATTCAGAGGGCCACCACACGATTGTGGCAGACGACTGCTCCTCTATGGCAGTAACTGGGCTGGGATGAAACGGCCTTGGAGCAGGGACAGCAGCCTTCCAGGACCCTCTCCCTGCCCCAGACACTCGCCCTCAGTGCTGCTGCTCCCTTGCTTCTGAGTCAGGTACGGCACTGCAGAGGAAGCAGAGGTGTGTGTGTGTGGGGGGGGGGTGCGGCTGGGTGGCGGGCAACAGACACAGGGTGATGGCTGAAGCTGTGAAGAGACAAGTGGGTGGATGGGGTCAGAATAACCAGAGGAGGAGACGCATGGGGCAGGTGGACGGAAGAGAAGGCTGGGTGGGAAGCGAGAAGGTGTAAGCCAGGCATGATGGCGGCAGGAGGCGGCCAGTGAGGGGGCAGCAGACATAGTGGGAAGACACAAGAAAGAAATGGGGGCTGAGAGAGAGAGAAATAAATGCTGGGGTGGGAGAGAAAGGAAATCTAGGGAAAAGGATGGAAAGAGGAAATGCAGGGAAGGGGCGAAGGACAAGGAAGCCCTGCAAATGGCAAAAATTAAGGTTTACTGTGCCCTCCAAACCCAGAAAAAAATGGAAATGTGCCCATGGGCCCAGAAGTATTGCCTACACAGTTTAAATTAACTATTGCTAACCCCTATCTCACATCTGCACTGTTTAGTCCAACTGAACCACCATTCTTTGTTTACTGCTAGAAAAAAAAATAAACCATTCAAGACACTTCTAATTTATGCCACTCTTTATGAACACCGTTCATAAAGCATTAGCCAGAAAGTCTTATACACAGCACCAAGGTGGACAATATGTAAAAATATGTTCCATCTCATAATCAAACACTTTTTTCAAGTGAAACAAGGCACAGGTTTACCTAATATAGTTTGGTACTTTAAAAAATGAGCAGGGTTTTCTTTTTCCTTTTTTTAGTATTCCGGTAGTATCAACTGTCAGCTCGTCACAAAAATATATGTGCAAGTGTAAAAAGTGTCATTTTTGTAATAAACTGTAAGAAATATTCCCATTTAAAAATTAGACCAGTCTCTAGTATTTGAGTAGAAAATCTTGATACATTATTTTAGGTGCCCTGTTATTGTCCTCCATGTTGTTCACTGGCTCTTGTGGGGTTTTCTTCACTGGCTGCAAAATCCATAGCCTGAACATAAAAATAAAAACAAGTACATTTTTAGTTATCAATTCTCCGGCTCTCAGGCAACTTACAATAATTGTATAACAGTCCTCAGATTAACCAAGCTTAGAGAGCAGCATGCAGAAAAATATATGGGGCATAGGAATAGCTGTCATAAGTACAGGTTAGGTGACAAGTGGCTGGAGAGCAGCACTTGTGAAAGGGATCTGGGGGTGCTGGTTGACTGCAGGCTAAACATGAGTCAGCAGTGTGATGCGGTGGTCAAGAGGGCGAACGCCACCCTTGGTTGCATAGCCAGAAGTGTGGCTTCTAGATCAAGAGAGGTATTACTACCACTCTACACGACTCTGGTGCGCCCGCAACTGGAGTATTGTGTTCAGTTTTGGGCCCCTCATTACAGAAAGGATATAGCCAGGTTAGAGTCAGTGCAGCGTAGGGCCACAAGGTTGGTGGCTGGTTTGCAGGGGATGGGGTATGAGGCGAGACTGAGGGAACTGGGTCTCTTCAGCCTGGAGGAGACTCAGAGGGGATATGTTGGCAACATACAGGTATGTGAGCGGATGTCACATGGAGATGGGTAGAGACCTGTTCTCCCCTGCAGAGGAAGGCAGGACACACTCCAACAAAGCAAAGCTCAGGGAGCCAAGGTTCCATTTGGATGCCAGGAAGCATTTCCTGACAGTCAGGACCCCGAGGGTGTGGAATGGGCTTCCACGAGAGGTCGCTGAGGCCCCATCGGTGCGGGTGTTCAAGGATAGGCTGGACGTCCACATGGTGGGCATGTCGTGAGCGGAGCCGGCTGGTGCCGGAGGTCAGACTAGATGGCCCAGGAGGCCCCTTCTGACTCGCTCTGTTTCTATGTTTCTATATATAGAAGAAGCTGTGCTAGAGCTTGGTCCCTTCAAGAAATTAGGTGCTAGAGCTTTGGTCCCTTCAAGAAACTAGGGGAGTTAATCGTTTCATGAAAGCTCCAACAAAGACTTCTCAGCTGCTTCACCAGACTACAATTTGTCAACTATCTGGGCAGGGAGAGATCCATGAAAGTTTAAGATGGCATAAGAACAATACAAGTGTGTGGTATGGATAAGCCCCACCTTTTAAAGGTGGGAGATTCATACAAGCAAGTTGGGTGATCAGCGGAAAGAAAACAGACATACTTGGAGGCACACATACTTCGAAGCAGGCTGCAAATGCGATGGACTGAAATTTCTATACTTCTCAGCTGCACAGTATTATTTATTTATTTATTAATTAAAACATTTTTATGCCGCCCCATTCGCCGAAGCCTCGGGGCGGCTTACAACAGGCAGTATTAGGCTGTATTATAAAGCAAAATCTAAATGGATAACTGCTTTGCAATTTACATACTGTACCTTCATGCTAATAACCTCATACTGTTTGACATGGAGTAAAGAAAGGAGAGAAAGCTGTCCACAAAGTCAACTAAAAGTAATAATTTAGGGGGAAATGAGCCTGGGAACCAAAAACCCATTCCTCCCCAGAAAGTAAATAGTCAGCATGGTCCATTATTTTTCTTGCAATGGACAAATGTCTGCCGAATGCCAATGGAAAAACAAGAACTATAAAAGATGTCATCAAAATTGCTTTTAAACATCCGATTAACATATCTGCCATGAAGCCAACACCAAAAAGAAAAAAAAGTTTGGGGCCAAGTTGATAGCTGAATGTTAAAACAAAATAAAAGGCTAGCTAGGCTTGTGAAACCTGGGTAATCTAAGTTGCCATTCACATTGAAAATAAAGAACGCCAGTGCTCAGGGGCATATTGACACGCATGGTTTACTTCCAGCAAGAAAGTATGTGTTTTTAATGAGTCAAGTATTTTCCTAGGTGCAGTAATTCATGTCACTTTTTTTAAAAAAGGTGTGGACGTGCAGCAGCCTTGCAGTGGAGTAGCACATTCAGAGCCAGGGTACCCTGCTTATCTTGTGATGGTCAGTGAACCAAGTCAACTTGAAGTTTTACTGGCAGAGCAGTTAGAAGAGGGAATAGGAATCGAACATCTAGCCCTCCTCCTCCTTTGCTGGCCTGCCCTCTCAGCACCGTACTTCACCCTGTCCGTGCCCACCTTGCTTGGGGCATCTGATAATTCTCATTTCCTCTGGCAAAAGAAGTAAAGCGAAACACTGCACTGTTGTGAGGATGGTTCAACAACTAGCAACTTGCAAGCAGGAATAAGCTGGAAAAGGGGCGCTACACAACGTGTAGCTTAACTTGTGCAGTGACAGAAGTCCCACCCAAAGTTCAGTTTGTGCGGCTGCATGGAAGTGAATGGAGCTGGAGCTGCCGGGTTTTCAACTGAGTACTGGCTATGGTTAGAAGACTGCTGGAGAGGGCAAATTAACCACAACTACCTTTGCTGTGGCCTGCTTATTTTAAATACTCTAAAAGTGGAATTTACACCCTGCATTTCTGTGAAAGTATGGCTCTCAGGGTGGCTAACAAAATCAAAATTAAAACATGATCTTAATTAAAACATGGCATAAACACTACTAAATAATCCATGTGAAACCAGACCCAGTTAAGAAAAAAGCAAGAACTGATGTCTTTGTTTCAATTTGTCATCTTACTTTTTGTGGAAGATACAGTGATGCCCAATAACAGCTTTGATAAAGACTGGGCATTCTCCACTTTCCCCTTATGGGTGGCACTTTCTTCCACGGGAGAAAAGAAAAGGGACACCAAAATAATCAGGGACACCAAAATAATCAGGAAACCCACCTCCAGTAATTTCAGGACAGTTATATGCCAATGGTGGAGAACCTGTGACCTGTGCAATTCCCATCAGTCATAGTCAGCACTGCCAGCAGTAAAGGATGATGGGAGAGCAATGCAACATCATCTAGGCAGCCAACAAATTCTCCAGCTGTGATCTATAGCTGCCCTGTACTTCCCCCCTCCTTTCCCTACCTTGCTTTTCACCATTCTTCACTGCTAAATACACAAAGGGCTTAATAATTAAATTAATAATTAAATTAGGTAATTTGCAGATTAGGCTATACCTTTCCAAATTAAGCAAATCAAATATGTTTGTACAATCAGGCTACGCTAGCATAACTAAATTCAACAAAGAAAAAGAATATTTTCAGAAGGATAGTCAAGTAGAGAAGTATACAAAGAAAACGTTTGCCTACATATTCCAGGTTGCACTGTGACAAGACTGCCTTGCTCGAAAAGCCTGGATGCCTTCTGAGTTCATATCCATCCATATAAACTAATACCACCTATTGAGGTACATTCTGAACAGGCCTACCTATCTCACAGATCTTACTTAAAGAGAAGCCTTTGGCTCTACACCGACCTCTTATCTAATGTTACTGTATTGTCAAACTGACAAGAACCAAGTAAAAATTATGCTGCTAATGTAAGACAAAAGTAAATATAGGTAGTCTGGAGGAAGACAAGAGGATAGTTGGAAATTACAGTTTACCTGAATTTTAATTTCCACTGACTCTATCAACTAATACACCCACCTCCACACACAAACAAACATACTGGGTAGGATTAAGCAATGTTCTGCTTGATTCAGAATCTAAATGGCCTGATCAGAGGTTATTGAGTGATATGTGTATCCAGACACAAAGGTTATTTGCAGGTTAAACAAAGTTAACCTAAGAACTAAGCCTACATTAACCAGGAGTTGTTTAACCCATGAATATTCCATATTGTACAGGTATGCAAGTCTGAGCAGGCTGATCATAGACTGCTTATGCAAAGTGGCAGTGGCATGAAACCTGGCAAATTGTGGATTAATTAAACCAGGATTTGCCACCTTCATGTGCAAACAGGTCACCAAATGGTGAAGTCAACATTTCAGATATCAGTTTTTATTTCAGATTACTAAATCTGTTTCCAGTTCTCATAGTTGCAAAGACTGGCTTGAAAACCTATGGACAATAATTGGTGAAATCCCAAAGATATCTAAGGGGGTCAGTTAGAACTTAAAGATGCCAGAGGGTTTCAGTGTCCTTCCATAACTATCAGAAACAATATACATCAGGCAAAACAAATTGCTACTAAAACTGCACAATTTACACATGCTGTAGAATCCTGTGACTTCTTGGATTGATTCATGATTTGCTGACATTGTTAAACTGGACTGAATGAAAGCAGAAGCCGCACCAACCCAAGGTCTGAACAACAGATTAGGACAAACTGCTTAAAGGCCAAGTGCCAAAGGTAACTAGGGTCATGATCAGAGATCTGATCCTGTACTCAGGCAGAAAGGAGAGATAATTTCCACACACCCTTGCCATGCCCCGCCTCCCTTGATGCATGGAAAAACTCTGAAATATGCAATGCTGAAGAGGTAATTATACACTTGCTCAAATATAAAGCTCCTTCCTACAGAGAAGAATTTTAATAACATTCATTTATGAGGTGAAAGTTAAAATGACTGAAGGGAGGGGCAGAAACCGGAAGGTTTATTCAGAAACAGCACTTTAGAAATGCTCAGTACACCCTATAACAAGTGCATCCTTTAGGAGTCCAACACCCTAGGTAAGATTCACTAGTTTTTAATACACAACACAAATGGTATAAAGCAAGTACGGAATTATCATAGAAGGGGCCAGAGGGCACTCAGGTCCAACCTGCTGCTCAGTGCAGGACTCCATTAAACCCTCCCTCTCAGATGGCTGCCCAGTTGCATCTTGGGCGCCTCTAGTGCAGAAGAGCCCACAACCTCCCTAGGTCATTGGTTCCATTGTCGTACTGCTCTAACAGTGAGGAAATTTTTCCTGATACCTAACCAGAATCTGGCTTCCTGTAACTTGAACCTGTTGTTCCATGTCCTGCACTCTGGGATGATCAAGAAGAGATTCTGGCCTTCCTCTTTGTGACAGTCTTTCAGGTACTGGAAGAGTGCGAACATATCTCTTCCTTCAGTCTTCTCTTCCTGAGCCTAAACATGTCCAGTTCTCTCAAAGGGCTTTGTGTCCAGTCCCTGGTTCATCCTTGTCACCCTCCTCTGAACCCTTTTCAGCTTGTCTGCACCTTTCTTCCACTGTGATGCCCAGAACTGGGGAAAATACTCTCGATGGGGCCTAACCAGTGTTGAGTAAAGGGGAACTAGTACTTCACATGATTTGGAAGTGATATTTCTTTTAATGCTGCCTAATACTGAGTAAATAAGTCATATACCCATGCAAAATATCCAAACTTCATTCAAATCCCAAATTGTAAATTTGAATTTTCATTTCAAACTAAGTCAGTCTCACTCAAAGGCCCCAAGTTCAGAACAATTTTAATCCTTCAAATAGAACTAGCTGAGAAAAGCATTTGCAATAATTGCTATGGCAACGTAAGTACTTCTTAATAATGAAACTTGTTATTTGAAATTTGAATGACCTTTTGATAGGTAAGAACATGGACTGAAGTATTTAGAGCAACTTTTGGTAGAAAACTTTTGGTAGAATAAAAACATTATTCAGCCCCAATATATTTCAAGTTGCAATATTCAGCATTCATGCACCAGAGTCAGAGAATCCTAACTTATACATACAGAATACCAAAGGATAGAAATGGCGCATAAAATGCACACAGAAAGGTCCTGTTTTGGAAGAATGTGCTGCTCTAACTACAGAAGCAGGGTCAACCATAGGACATGAAGATCCCAAAGCTACCTGCGACTAGACATTCTCTCCCCCACTTATGGTATGGCTTGGGGTTCTTCCTTGGCAGTCCCTCTCTGCCAGGTCTGGCAGCAGCACTGGACAGTGCCAGGCAAGCTGCATTCGACACAGCCTCCTCTACCAAGGGCAAACCAACACACACCCCCACCGCTGCCCCGTGCTGCTGGGCTGAAACCGCAGGCAGAGCCAGGGGCTGGCCAGAGCAATCTCCCCTTCTCTGCTGTCCCTGCCTGCCATTTTGGGGTGACCTCCTCTACCCTGCCAGCCCAAAAGGGTTGACCAGCATGTCTGTTTTGCTGGGATCGGCAGCAGCTGCCCTGCCCTGCCCCCAATGTTGGCATCAATGGCAGGGTGAAGGGACAGTCCCTAAATGCCACTTGAGCACTTCGGAGGGGCTGCCATCAGTGCTTGCCCAGAGCTGCTTGGCAAGAGTGGATAACCCTTCAGCTGCTCGGTAGCAGTTTTGGCCATCTCTAAGCTTGCTGTGTCGTGTGGCTTCAGAAGACACTTTAAACCCAGCGTGGCTTATAAGCCTTCGAACAAGCCATGGCTCCATGAGGTGTTTTAAAAGAACAGCAGCTAAGCTTATAAGCCCCTCCCTATGAAGTGCTTCTGTGTTTGAACAACACACTAAACCACCTGAGTTTATAAAGCCAGGTGGCTTACCATGTCATGTGAATCCAGTCAGCCTCTTCCCTCTAAAACTGGCTATGCTTGAAACATATTAGTGTTCTGTGTGTGTGTGTGTGTGTGTACGTACACATCCATAACCCACTGAAAATATATTGTTTCAGGAACACACAGAAATAATCCTTCAATTTCACCCTCCTGAGTAAACATAGGTATATCAGCTGAAAGGAGAAAGAGAGAGAACAGAAAAGTGCTGTGATCTTTTTTTTAAAAAAGGCAATGTAGTTGAATTCCTTTAGACAACTTCTCACTGAGAATGCTGTGGGAGTCTTGTCTCTGTAGGCTGCAGCACATCGCTTAATCATATGGCAAAGACGCAAGGATTGCTGTGGTGCTTCTACTCCTATTTTCAGGGCCATATCCAGAAGAAGGTAATGGGGAACTTATCTTTGGTCCATTTCACGTCACCTATGGGGTTAGGCAAGACATGCTTGCCCTTCATGCTGTTTAACATTTCAATTGGGTGCAACATATGTGGGCCACAAGTAGCCTCCAGGCCCTGTCTGCTGGCTTCTCAGAAGGAAGTTAGTCTGTCTTGTTATCTTGTCAGTGCTCAAAGGCTCCTGTCTGCTCCTTAGGATGCACTAGGAGCAGAACTTCTACAGAAGGATCAGATAAAACCAACCTGTTCCTCTACTGTGTGTTTCCCTTTTTTCCTCTGTCCCTTCCTCCACCTTGAAAACATTCCAGGTAACAAGAATTTGGGACACCAGGATTCTTCACCAAAAGAATGGAATAGTGAAGGGAGAAAGGCTACGAGCCAGGATTCCTGGATGGCTAAATGATTTGAGAACTAAGGTTTTTAGTAGGAGGGTTAATTTTATCTGATTAAAACAGGTGCTATGCCACTGAAATGCTCCTGGACAGGAATCTGAATCTGAGTGAGTTGCTGGAAGAGGTCATCCAGGGACTCAGAATGAGGTAATTTGGTTTTGTTCTGGTGGGGTAAGTCAAGTGAAGTTGCAGAAGCGCTGAACTGCTGTGTGGATGTGAGAAAACTTGGGATGAAGGTCAGAATGAAGCATAATCCTGAGAAGTTTTGAGGTCTGAACTAATACAGTTCCCTGGTTCAGAGAGATTAGGATCAATGGATTCCGGATAGTGCTGCAAACACATTAAGTTTGGTGCTGTTCCTAGATCCAGCTTTAGCTTAAGAAGTCCAGATAAGCACCTTTCATCGGATTTGGCTGGTGTTCCAGCTGAGTCCCCTTCTGAATAGGTATCATCTGACCACTATTCATCTTCATCCTGATATGCTAGCTTTCTTTCTGTGCATCATGAGTGAGCATTCAGTCAAGTGAGCTCCCTCCCCTTGCAGCCTGGTATTAACCAGATACAGGTTTCTCACTGAAAACAGTCAAATCTGACTAAACAGAAGGAAAATTCTGAGCAGAGACAGAGATACAAAATATGCAAGGTGCTATTTTTACTAAGCTATTGTTAGCACAGCAGAAAAACAGATGTTCAAATTTAAGCAAAGTCAAAACCATGTGAACAAAAGCAAAACAACCCTCCCCCTTCCCTGGTTCAATACTCTTATTATGCAAGAGCCATGCTCTTTGGCCATTTTTAAAGAACCATGAAGCGCAAATACTCATGGAATATCAGGCACTTTTTCACAAGTGCATCAAAAAAGTAAGAAACTCATACCTATCAAACGCCCTCTCCCTACCTGATAGTTGTTGCCATTCCAGAACTTCTTCATCTCTTTGCGGTATAAGGCAACGAGTGTGGAACTGAGGAGTGTGCATGGTACTAGATAGAGAAGGGCTGGCTGTGCCATCTTCATTAGTGACAGACTCAAGAAGGTGACTAACATGCCAACTGCATAAGCTGTAGAAAAAGATCAGTTTTTTTTTTTAAAGAAAACCTGCTGAGCATTATACATTTTGATGCTTTTGATTTGACTGTATACATATCCAATACAATTGGTTATCAGGTGTGCTCTCAAGGTTATGGTTTTAGGCAAGCAGAATCTGCAACAAAATGTTGCAGTGTGGAGTGCCGCTGTTCAAGGTATGAGCTAGTCACTGTCTTCCAGGATTCTGGAATCTGTTTCACCCCCCAAATTTTCCACCTTAATAAATTGTAACTTGGTTTGATGTTAAACTAATTCAAGAACAATCCAAACCTGTTACCTAATTCTAATAATGCCATCTTTGTCTGATGTACTATTTGTGTGATTTTATATTTTATTGATTGTTGGTATATATTTTAATGCTGTAAACCATTCAAGGAGCCTTTTCCGGCTGCTGAATGGTATACAAATGTTTAAATAAATAAACAAAATAAATATAATTATTCATATACTTGGGTATTTACCTATAGTACAGGAAATGAAATACACACGGGAAGACCTTGTCTGAATATCAAATCTGTGACAGTAGGCGACCAGAAGACCTAAAAACAAACACACAAAAAGATAGGTCGGAACTAGAGTTTGGAAGGAAAAAAGTGAAGCCATCCAAGTACCGTATTTTTCGCTCTATAAGACACACTTTTCCCCCCTCAAAAGTAAGGGGAAATGTCTGTGCGTCTTATAGAGTGAATGTGTGTGTGTCTGACGCCCGGGATGCTGCCGGCCCGCCTGCGCACCACCTGGCCGGCACACGCTCGATGCGTGCTGCTCCACCCCCCCACCCCTCCGGCACAGGTGAGAGCTGTGCCGCTCAGGGGGAGCGGAGCGGAGGAGGAGCAGCCGCGGGCTTTAACCCGCCAGCCGCACGGAGAGACGGACTGCTCACCCCTACTGCCCAGGAAGACCTGCCACGGAGGAGCAGCAGCCATGGGCTTTAACCCGCTGGCCACACGGAGAGACGGATTGCTCACCCCCACCACCCAGGAAGACCTGCCGCTGCTGCGCCACCCGGAAGACCACCGCCAGCACGCTGCCGGCCCGGCTGCACCACACCTGGCCGGCACACGCTCAGCACACCCTGCTCTACCCCCCTCCTCCGGCACAGGCGAGAGCTGTTAATCACAGGTCGGTGTGTGTTTTCAAATGGCAACCCATCTTTTAATGAATCCCATGGGGAAGTGATGGGGAATGTGCCTGTGATTATCAGGAAGCTTTCCATGGATTCCTCCTCTAAAAACTAGGTGCGTCTTATGGTCAGGTGCATCTTATAGAGCAAAAAATACGGTAATATTAATGCTGGGTTAGGTTGTGAACAGTGCTTGACTTGTAGGATGCTTGGTGGAACCTTGCCCCCTGCCTTCATAAAGGTCCCCTTGTGAAAAGTTTAATGAAACAGAGCTTATGTAAGGTAAAGGTCATGGCCTGGTTCACATGTACACTAATCCATGCTTTATTTAGCATTTGTTGACACCACAGGTCCTTTTCATGGATTGTCATGGCTAACAACATACAGCTGACCCATAGTTCCAGGTTAGCATATAACCAGGACCCATGTTTAAATAAGCCATAGGTTGTCATTATGTATGCACTAGCTCTCTATATAAAGATTTTGCTTGCAAACAGAAGTTACATAGATTGAGGGGAGCTATAAGCATCTCCCTAGTTTGAGTATTTCAGGAAGTGAATTTCTTTGGAATCAACAGGATGACTCTAGTACTCATGAGCAGCATTTGGTTTTAGAGAAGGGGCTTAGAGGGAGCTAAATCATCAATCAGCAAACTGAAAACATAATAGTTTCCAAATATGGCAAACAGGTGATGCTAGTTTCAAGATGTGGGCTTTGTGGATTGTATTTTGGGCCCTCCCTACCTCCCCTACCCATTCCCATAATTCAAATTCTGGGAATAGGTCTCCCTGAGTTCAATGAATAGGAGCTAGAGCTGCAAATCTGAAAACCTAAATAGATGTACACAGACTTCAATCCCATATGAAACAATAGTACATTTGACTATGCTTAGGATCACAGTCTATACTGTAGTCTCTGCACTCTGTAGAACAGCAATAGTACAGTGGCAGAACAAATGCTCTGCATGAAGAAGGTCCTAATTTCAATCCTTGGCACCTTCAGGTGGGATTGAGAAAAACTCTGGAGAGGTGTTCCCAGTCAGTGCAGACAAGGTCTGACAAGGTATAAGGCAACTTCATATGTTCCTGCACTCCAAGTAGCATAATGGGGGAAAGAATCTGACATAAGATCCAGAAAACCTTCTTTAAAGGCACAAAATGGGTTTGCAGTATGTGGTGCTGCTAAAGATTTGTACAGCTGTTACATGAAAGACTGTTCTGCATATGTTGCAATGAAACTGTTGTGCCTGCCTTAAAAAAAAAATGTAGGCATTACATGCAATACCTTTCATGACATGATTCCAGGTTTGCTCTATTGGCAGCCAGGAATGCAGAGCACGGCATGAACATCTTAGCTTTTGGAAAAGGCACTTACCCGGCAAAACAATGTCACCATATCCAAGCAATGAAAATGGCATCTGGCATAACATCGTTCCAGAGAAAATCAGCTTAGGCACTTTGATAACCACTGGCAACTGCAAAACAGTGTTTTCAAACCCCACATTAGTCCAAATCCAGAGGATGTTCAAGAAAAAAGGTTTTAATTTTTTTTCAGAACTATTTGCTCATCTAGTTGTGGAACTTCCAATTATGAAAGACTGAAATTTAGCAAACAGGAACGAAGATGCTGAATGCACAAAGTATGACCAAGCATATAAGCCAAGAGGATGAAAGTGCATGTGGATGTCAGACAGATGGAGACTATACCCAACAACGTTAAGAAAATGCACCATATGAAGCAAGAAAACACCAGCCAAATTTCAGCCTTTTTACAAGCAGTTGGGCACTGCTTTGATCCAGGCCCTGAAGAAAAACATTTGGAAAGAGTCAGACGTTTTTACTCCAAAGGCTACTCTTCATTCAAAGGATGCCATTAAAAATCCCATGAACATATCTTAAATCCTTACGTTCTCATGAGGAGCTGACCGCTCAGCAGAGGCTTCCACCAAGTTTCCATCACTCTAGGATCAAACCCAAGCCAACAAGCATTTAATACCTTAAAAGAAAGCTTCAGAAATGGCTATATGCATGTTATACCTAAATATTCAGGGCACAATCTCGGTAAAGTGCAGCACTTGGAAGTCTCACTGATGTGAATAGGAAAGCATTAGGCATTTCCTTAGCTTCCTTATAGCTGAACCTCAAAAAGTCTTAAAAATGCTGTATGTTGCTTGGATTGTGTGTTAGTGTAAACTAATTGTAGCAGCTACACCCATGAAAATTCAGAATTATAATGCCCCACATCATATTAATACAAGTTACATTTATTTTAGAATATGCCTACCTTTTCACTGTTTTCTGAAGGACCTGTTGCAACTTCAACCATTATACTTTCCCCATTCTGAAATTATGAAGTATTTTGATATTAAAGCATTACTTTAGCAAGCATATTATTTCAGATATCTATATTTGATTTTCAAAAGCTAATGCAACACTCTTACAATGCATTTTAGCTAGCTTATTTCTCCGAAATGCACAAAAAGAAAAGATAATCTGTTCATAATCCAACAGTGTCCAAAGGTGTACAGATTTAATTTTTTTTAAAAGCCTAACTGGATCCAAGTCAATGATTGCAGCTTTAGTTTACAGCAGATATAGGTGAGTAAATTTTGTTGCAGTTATAATTCTTCCAAGAGCTTGTGGCATGTTAGAAACAAGTTTCAAACTGAGGAAATTCAACATAATTTCACTTTCAGAAAATTCAAAAGCATACATGCAAACTGAAAGAGGGCAGGAAACCAACCAACAATACAGATTTCTATGATACAGAAGTAGAAAGAAAACACCTCGGTTTCAAATATTTGCATATCAACTTTGCCTTCTTTTGAAAGATTACTATCTTAGCTTATACTAGGACAATTTGGAAGTTGCTTGAAAAACACTAGAATTGAGGGTTCTGTAGGTTATGGGGCTGGAGCTCTATGCTCAACGTATGGACAAGATTTTAATTTGATGGCATCACGGTGCCACTCAAACACATAAGATTGCACTGAGTAACAGTGCACTCCTTGCTCATCTTTTTACTACAGAAATGCCATGAAAAAGTTTGAATCTACTCCCATTTTGCTTTCTGAATATTAACGTTCAAGTAGGTCATCTCAGTGAGCTGGTTTGCTTGCAGCAACAATCCATCGGTCTAAAATCTGATGGGCTGTCATTCATAAGCAAGAGTACACCTGTCTCTTCTGCTTTGACTCAGTAATCCACAGTTGACTCCTGCCTCCGTAATGCCCAAATTAAAACTGCTGGGTTGTTTGGAGGCTAAACAATCCAAAAGTTAACTCATGATTTCTTGTTGGCTTAATCACTGGGTTATCTTCTACATTTGAACAGACCCAGCTCCACACAGTTCTTTCCTTCTATTTTGTCACATTCCTCTTTAAGTGCATTTAACTGCAACCTCTGCCCTCTGCATTTCAGCATTTATATTTAAGTCAGCTTTCTTCAACCAGGTACCTTGCAGATGTGCTGGTCTACACCTCCACCATTTAAAAACATAAGAAGAGCCATGCTGGATCAGACTAATGGTCCATCCAGTCTAGCATGCCATTGACACAGTAGCAAGATGGGCCCAAGACCTCCACCTGCCCAAGCATCTCAACAACTGGCACGTGCATGTGCAGGCATGCTGCCTCTGGTCATGGAGGCAGCACATGGACAGCAAGGCTAGTATCCCTTGATAGCTTCCTCCACCAGTAATTTGTCCAGGAAGCATGGTCACTGCTGCTTAGGAATGCTGCTTGGGGACAACTGGAGTTCCAACCTAATACAACTGGAAGACTGGGGAAAGCTGACACACCTCTTCTTTTTTGGTCAATTCTATTTCCTTTTGTTTTGTTTGTTTGGAGAAATGAGCAATTCCCTTTTCCTCTCACTGAAGAACAGAAGTACAAAATATATCCAGTCAGTGCCTTTCTTTCCTTGACACAGGGAGGAGAGGGGTGGGAATAACACCAAATATGACAAATTCTGATGTTATTGTAAATAGATGCCTCTTTATCTAATAAAAGATTAGCAGACAGAATAAATGCAAGGCTGTAGAATACTCTTAGCAGTGACCAGAGAATGCTGATGCTAGTCATTTCTGTACTGCCCAATAACCACGCTGGTGGTACATGGTTGGAGCTGTAGGGCTTTTTTCCATCTAGATATGCATAGCAGCTGTTCTGGAGCAAAGTGCTTGAAAATATATTTTATGCATGCACAGCATTAGTATATTTCATGAAAAGTATTACAGAACTGTATACTTACTTTTGTAATGAATGGTGTGATGAAAACAAAGAAGACATCATATAGAAGGAGGAGGCCTAAGAGAAGCACACACGACTAGAGAACAAAGAAGAATCATGGGATTTTTATAAAATGTATAAGTAAAATGAGTAATGTTAATAGCATTGTTTCATCATAAATCTGAAAGATATGTTCTTCTTTGGACTTCCATTTACTAAACATCTTTTAAGGGTTTTACTGCCACTTGTTTTTGACACCCCCCCCAAAAAAACAAAAACAAAACAAAAACAAAAGACAGTTCAAGATACAAAGAATTCAATAAAAGAAATTATTTATTTATTTAAAACATTTTTATGCTGCCCCCATCGCAACAAAGCCTCGGGGCTGCTTACAACAAAAACATAGTTATACAAAATTATACAAAAACAAAATTATACAATAAAAATATTAAAACCCGGTGCATCTCGGCTTAAAAATTTTAAAATCCTACTCAATAAATTAACACTTAAAATAAGTTTTAAATAAAAAGGTCTTAGCCTGGCGCTGAAAAACAAATAACGACGGTGCCAGGCGGACCTCTCTGGGGAGCGCATTCCATAGGTGGGGCGTCACCACAGAGAAGGCCCTCCTCCGGGTACTCACCCTCCTAATATCATTCACAGAGGGCTCCCGGAGAAGGGCATCTGTTGCTGATCTCAAGGGGCGGGAGGGCATATATGGACGCAAGTGTTCCTTTAGATACCCAGGACCCAAGCTGTTGAGGGCTTTATAGGTCATAACCAACACCTTGAATTGGGCCCGGACTTCAATCGGGAGCCAGTGGAGCTGACAGAGAACTGGGTTATATGAGAATAACGCCCAGTCCCCGTCAGCAGCCTGGCAGCTCTATTCTGCACCAACTGAAGTATCCGGACCGTCTTCAAGGGCAGCCCCACGTAGAGCGCGTTGCAGAAAACTAATCGGGAAGTTACCAACGCGTGTGTCACTGTTGCCAGGCAATCGTTCTCCAGGAAGGGACGCAGCTGATGGATCAGCCGAAGCTGAAGGAAAGCGCTCCTTGCCACCGCCGTCACCTGGGCTTCTAAAGACAGCTCAGGGTCGAGGAGCACTCCTAAGCTGCGAACCCTGTCCCTCAGAGGGAGTGCAACCCCATTTAGGACAAGGCCCAAGTCACCTACCCAGGAGTTTGAACCACCCACCAGCAGGACCTCCGTCTTGTCTGGATTGAGCTTCAGTTTATTGGCCCTCATCCAGCCCATTACCTTGGCCAGGCACCAGTTCAGCACAGCCACTGCCTCACCTGGATTGGTGGAAAATGAGAAGTAGAGCTGGGTATCATCAGCGTACTGATGATTCCGCAGCCCACACCTCCTGATGACCTCTCCCAGTGGTTTCATGTAGATGTTGAACAGCAAGGGGGACAAAATTGACCCCTGTGGAACTTCATGTCATAACTGCCATGGCGCAGAGCCATAGTCCCTCAACACCACCTTCTGAAATTGGCTGTTGAGATACGAGCAGAACCACCGCCACGCGGTGCCTCCAACTCCCAATCCCACTAGCCTATTCAGAAGGATACCATGGTCAATGGTATCGAAAGCCGCTGAGAGGTCCAGGAGAACTAACAGGGACGCACTCCCCCTGTCTCTCTCCTTGCACAGGTCATCATACAGGGCGACCAAGGCAGATTCAGGGCCATACCCGGGCCTGAAGCCGGACTGAAATGGGTCCAGATAATCAGTTTCATCCAAGAATGCTTGGAGTTGTCCCGCCACCACCTGCTCTAGCACCTTGCCCAGGAACGGGATGTTGGCCACTGGTCTATAATTGGTGGCCACCTCTGGATCCAGGGATGCCTTCTTTAGGACTGGTCAGACTACCGCCTCTTTTAAAGAGGAAGGTACCCGACCGTCTCTTAAAGAGGTGTTGACCACCTCCAGGATCCAGGTGCCAATCCCGTTCTTGGCTTTCTTAAGTAGCCAGGATGGGCATGGGTCTAGTAAGCAGGTGGTAGGCGTACTTGTCCAAGCACCTTGTCCACATCATCAGGCCACAACAACTGAAATTCATCCATTAATTGTGGACTCGATGGCGTCATTGGCATCTCCTCAGTAGAATCTGGTTCAATAGTAGAGTCAAGCTCGTGACGTATCTGAGCGATTTTCTCCCTGAAATGCCTCGCAAAGTCATCACAGTGGGCCTTTGAGGGTGGTATGTGATCTTTCTTTGGGCCTGGATGTATCAGCCCTTGCACCACCCGAAAGAGCTCCGCCAGATGGCATTGTGAGAAGGCAATGGAAGCAGAGAAGAATTTCTTCTTCGCCATCCTCACCGCCACAGCGTAGGCCCGATAATGGGCTCTTAAGTGTGTTCGGTCAGATTCACCCCGTGATCTCCTCCACCTACGCTCTAGATGTCTCCCAACCTGCTTCATCGCCTGTAATTCAGGTGTATACCAAGGAGATGAATAGGCTCTGCCAGGTGGGAGAGGACACTTGGGAGCGATCATGTCAATAGCCCTGGTCATCTCCCCATTCCACAATTCAACCAGGGCATCGACAGGATCACCAGCCTTGTCAACTGGAAAATCCCCCAGAGCTTTCAGGAATCCATCAGGATCCATCTGGCTCCGGGGGCGGACCAATACAATCTGGTCCACACCCTTACAGAGGAAAAGGCCGCTCTCAAGCTCAAACCTTATGAGGAAGTGATCTGACCATGACAAGGGCGTCAAACTTAAATTCCTCACCCTCAGATCACCCTCTTCCTACCCCGTCGAGAAAACCAGGTCCAGAGTGTGTCCACGTTCATGGGTCGGGCCACTGATGTGTTGAGACAACCCCATGGCCGCCATGGAGGCCATGAAGTCCTGAGCCGCCCCGGCTAGAACCATCTCGGCATGGAGATTGAAGTCCCCCAGGACCAACATCCTGGGGGTCCTCAACACCAGGTCCGAGACTATCTCCATCAGCTCAGGCAGGGAGTCAGTTGGGCAGAAGGGTGCACGGTACACCAACAGAATCCCCAATCTGTCTCAGTCGCCCAACACCAAGTGGAGGCACTCCAGCCCCGGCCTCGAGAGGACAGGAAGACCCACAAGGGAAATAGAAGCTCAATAAACCAGAGCGACCCCCTCCCCTCCAGGCGTGGTTGGTGCAGGACCAGGTTGTGCGACATCGCCCCCTCTCACCCGCCCAGGCCTCTGTGATGCAAGCTAGGTCGGCCCTCTCATCCATGATCAAATCAGAGTGTTGCCTTATTTTGGACTGACCCGGTATTAAGCAACAGCACCGACAGGCCCAGGGGGCAGCTGACAAGTCTACCTGGAACCCGTCGGTTGGGGGAATAACCAGAAAGAGGGACAGGTGTTAACCATCTGTCCCTCCTTCTTCTATGCAGACCCGTTAGACCCCCAACGCCATAACGTCCATTGCCCATCACCACCCCAATGGCGGCACCCACGCGCTCCCCAGGCAACATCATAGTAAAGCACGAGATGCACCAATTAAAAGCAACCTAAAACCGACAATTAAAATTACTAAAAGCATCCTACTTAAAACCACTGCTAGCCCACGAATGAAACCAAGGCCAACCACCAAAGCCCACAAAGCCATAATTTGGCTTATGTAATGTAACTAACTTATTTTTTTTACAACAGAAAAGTTCTTTTAAAACATAAATTGTCATTCTGCCAATGAAATGTAGCTGCTTTAGTAGAATTAGGTCCTGAACTATTCACAAGAGGAGAATTCAACTAAAGTCATGTTTGCAGATCAATCTTTCCATTGTGCAAGTGGTTATGTATTGCATTTGTGCAAGCAACTCTGCACAGTAGCTGTACAACAGAAAGATTAATCAGAGTGGTTGTGTTTGCAAAAATATTATATTACTTAAGAAGCATTATGTCCTGAAGGTCTACTGTATCACATGCTCTAACAAACTAAAGCTTCTGCTCCAAAAATGAAGCATTCTTTTTCTGCAACAGACCAGCACAGCTCCTGCTTTCTCTGGAATGTGTCATTTTAGTGCATTTTGGCCAGATTGGTTAACTTACCTTGAAATTGGGTACTTTGAGTGTTTTAATCAAGTTCACGCAGAAAGCAATTCCTAAGATATCTTGTAAAATCCAAGCCCAGCTAAAATAGAAATGAATCTGTTGAACACACAAGCATATACATACTGAAACAAAATTGCCCCAATTTGTTAGATCATGGTTGCAATCGGTATGTACTAGGGCTATAACCCAGTGAACACAGTGGGACTTACATCTGAGCAAGCATGCAGAAGATTACATTGTAAGACCTGGATTCATTATTGACTCATTATTTATTTACAAGATTTATATACTGCTCCATATTAGCCGTGAACAATGTACGATGAAAGAGATCGACAAAGCTGTGGCTGGTTAGTTAGTTCAGAAAGGCTTCTTGTTTTCAGGAGGCACCAAAAACAATACGATGCTAATGCCTGCTTGACTACCAGAGGCACTGAGTTCCCCAGAAAAGGAGCTCCTACACAAGCAGTTCTTCTCTAGGTGGACACCAATCAAGCCTTAAATCAAGGAATAACAGTTACAGGGATGTTCTCCTACAAGCACAACTGATAAAGGAGAAACATTCTCTCAAGTATCCAGCTTCCAAGCTGTTTAGGACATTGTACACTAATACCAGAACCTTAAACCTGGTCTGGTAAGAACCAGGCAGTCAGTGTAGTTCCCTCAGCAAAGCAGTTGCATGTTAAAATGGGGGAGCACCTAAAAACTCCTTCATTCTACACTACTTCCAGATTCTGGAGCACCCTTAAAGGTGGTATCACAGAGCAGAAACCCCGTCTTAAGGTGGCTAGTGCCTGTGCCACCATGGCCAAGCTACCCCTCTATCAAAAGTCAATGATAGATTGAGCAGAATTGACAGGGTTGTACCCCTTCATCCCTTTCTTGATATAAAGGTCATCTATTGGGATGGCCAAGTCTGATTTGAATCCATAAGCAGAATGATACCCAGACTGGAAACCATCTAAGTAAACAGTAACCTCCTGGAGTGTTTTTCCTATAAAGGGGGGGGGGGTATTTGCCACTGGGGCGTAGTTGTCAAGTACCATTTCAAGAGTGGTCACACTACTGCCTCCCTTACTGCAGCAAGTATCCTCCACACAGAAACGCATTTACCACTGCCTGGACCCCTTTTGCTTAACCAGAAGGGGCAAGAATTGAGAAGTCAAATCAAGAAGGACAAAGATTAGCCACACTGCTGCAAGCACCTTGTCCGCATCATCAAGCCACAGCAACTGAAATGGATCAGGCAGATGGCGCCAGAAACTCTGACTGAGTCTGTGCTAACAACAGCGTCATATTTGTTAGTTGGGAAGTCGTGTCCGACCCATCGCGACCCCATGGACAACTTTCCTCAAGCAATTTTTCTCCTCAAAGTGTGATAGAAACAGAGCGAGTCAGAAGGGGCCTCCCAGGCCATCTAGTATGGCCCCCTGGTCCAGCCGGTTCTGCTCATGATATGCCATGATATAAGGAGGAGCTGATATAGAGATGAGGGGTGCATTGCTGGGCGGTGTGTTAAGTACCCTACACCACCCAAAAGAGTTCTGCAGGATAGCTACTTCAGGACACAACAAGGTAGCAAAGTAAAACTTGTTTTGCTGTCTGCGACAGGCATGGTTATGTGCTCTACAGCACACTCGGTCATCTTCAGCTTGAGTCTTATGCCACTTGCACGCTAGTCAATGCCCAGCCTGTTTTACTGGTATGCGACTCCCCAGTATACCAAGGAGCAGAGTGAGCACTGCAGCACTGGTAAGGACACTCGCTGCAATCCAGCTGCTCACCCTCCACATCTCATTGTTCCATCATGAAACCTGAATGGACCTTCCATTTGGGTAGTATGCTACAAAGGGTTGATCACAACAGCTTACACAGCTGCAATCTACAATGCCTCAGTGAACACTATGCCAGAGGGTTTCCTAAACTCTGGCAGCAGTTCTTCTTGCGGGGAGGGGTGCTGGTGGGCAGAATGAAAACATAAGGGAAGGACTGAAAATCAAGTTAATATATATATAGTGCTTTTATAACACACTTTCCTTCCATCATGAAACCCAGGGCAATTCCTGGGTGGTCTTTTCCAGCACAAGAAAACTCAATGGGGCCATGTATGCACAGTCTTTGGATCCTGGCCTAGGTATTTTTAATGGGGAAAAAGAGCTGGAAAGAAGGAAAATTAGCACTGATCATAATTCCAGTTCTAAATCTTCACATACCTATCCTCATTGCGAAATACTGCCCAAGTGACCGATGCTGCTATGCAAAATAGAGCAAGAAAGAAGAGTCTTACTTTGATGCATTGATGCCAGCATGGAAACCTGAAAGTCAAGGGGCACCATCAATATTTGTTATAAAAACAGCATATACACAGAGATGTGAAGTCCTGGAAAGAATGGAGTTTTACTGGCTTTCCCAAACAAACCCTTTCCTCCCTTATTCCCCCACCCCCAAAATGGGATTCCCCCCCCTCAATTTTTCTGTTTTTCCAGGCCTTCACTTCACTACATATATACCTAGTTCCTCCGCAGAAATCCACAAAGAAAACATGTACTCAATGGCATCTTAAAGGGAATTCTCTGATTTAATGTTTGCATTCCTGCTTCAATATATTATACAGAAACAAGCTTCACTGCAACTATGCATAGAATTCTACAGCATTTGAGAAATCACATCAACGAGCGTAACTGCTTACCTAATTTTAAACCTGCTTCACCGCTTCCTTCTATAAGCTAGCTATTTCTATCATTTGCTTATGCAGAAAACAACCCAAACCCCAAGCATAGAGTAGAAATGGGAACATAATGTTTACACTGCTGTTATAATACATTTAGATGTATGCAGGAATGTGTCTGCATGTGTACACAATGTCCCATTATACTACAGTTACAACAGACTGGTTTTTTTCACATTCAGCTCAGTAATAATCAGGCTGTGATATCACAGGTCTGAGTGCCAAAAACCTCCAGGTTAATCTGGAAAAGACCTCTTTCTGAGCAATACTAGTCCAGTCATTCCACTGGTTTGCCTTGGTATAAGGCAGCTTCCGATAGTAATGATACTGAAATGATACTGAACACTTGCACTGTGCTTTCATGTGCCCAAAATACTTCGCATGCATTATCTAGTGGTGACCGTTACCATGATCCTTTGCAAAGGAAGTTGGGATTATCCCTCATATTCCAGATGGGAGAATGGAAGCTGAGAGAGAATGGCCTGCCCAGTTCACAAGAGGGGCAAGATTCCAGTCTGGAACTTCTTGATTCGCCTCTCTGAGCCTGCCTCTTAGTATTTATTGATTTGCTAAAGTATTTGTTCAGTATTTATTTTATTGCACCTTTGAAAGAGAACATACCAAAGAGGCTTTAGAAATAAAGGACAACAATAAACTACAGACACCATATTACAACAGTGTCACAAATATTTCATTAGGTTCCACTTGGCTTTCGGGGGCAACTGTGCTAATGAGCTGTGGTGGGTATATTGCAGTCCTCCAGATATTGTTGGACTGCGATGTCCATCAGCCTAGCTTGCATAGCCGCTTGTGTGAAATAATGAGAATTGTAGACCAAAGCAATTTGAGGGCCACAAACTGCCCACCACTGCTGCAGAAGAATTGAGACCACACCCCACAATTCCAAATCAAGCTAACTGAAATGTACAGTAAATAAGAAAGCACAAGACTGTTCAGTAGCGTGACTGTTCAGCCCCCAAACCTGGCAAAATATCCCCATTTTAAATCAGCAACATAGTTTTTGTGAAAGGTCATATGGAATAATGGACTGTACCTGCATTGTCCATAAGGAATTTTTTCAACTAGAACAGAAAGACAGTTGAACAGGCTTGTGGCAGAGGCCACGCAGAAAAGTGAAATGACAACATATACTAGAAAAAAGGGGAAAGAAGAAGAAAGAAATGGTTAAAAACAAAGTTATCATGCAGCCACAAATCTTACAGTGAAGGAAAAAGGAGGCTCTTGTCAAGATGAATATTTACACCTCTGCCTCCTAGATAATAATCCTTATTCTAATTGTGTGCAGTCAGATGTAAGCCCATGAAGGGTCTATGGGACTTATATGTTAGTTAAGAAGCTTGTAATGGCAGCCATTGTTACATTTACCTATTTTCTCTGCAATTTTATTTTATTTAGTTATCTTAGTATTTATATACTGCACTATTCCCATAGGCTCTGGGCAGTTTACATGAAATTAAAACCAACAATGATTAAAATTCACTAAGACAACATTTTAAATAAAACTGACATGAGAACTAATCTGGGAAAGCCTGTTGAAAGAGATACATTTTTAATTCTCTCTTAGGGTGTGAATTTAGGAAATCAGATGCCCCTGAACTGTGGAGTGGCCTGCTGGGAGAGTTGTAATCACTGAAAAGCAGAGCGTGGATCAGCTCTCTCCAGGGCCTTCCAGAAGTGCTGAACTGCATCCCCCCTTAATTCCCAGCCAGCTGCAGATCTATACTCCTGGAGAACAGCAGGTTGGGGAAGGGGAAATCAAACTAGATAAATCAAAATGTCTTACCAAGCCACTTGTAGAAGTAGTACATCAAGACCAACATTACACAACTGATGCAGACAAACAGAACAGCAGTCACGGGAGTTAAAGTAACATTTTCAACACTGCTTAATGATGTGCTGCTTTCAGAGTTGGGGGCTGACTTTAGTTTCTCACTGTGTGGAAAAAAACAGGTAGTTAGAAAACCACCAGAAATAATAGACAGCATCCAATGCTGCTGCTGCTGCTCCTCTGCTGTTTGCGTTGTACCGGCAGAACTCAACACTAGCCCCCAATGGGAAGCCAGCACTTCCAACAGCGGGCCCAGAAATAAGCTGTTTCCAGAGTCCGGCATGTCAGTGGAGCTGCCTTCTGCTAGCTTCACAAACTTGTTCTATTCCAGAAATAAGTATTTTGGTTCATTTCTCAAGAGGAAGTGCAGACTTGGCTTTGTGCTAATAGTGGAGTCTTACGGGTACATGGGCAGCAATGGATATGGCCCAATGATGATTTATTGCACCATATCTGTCATAATTTTCAACATTGGTTAATACTTGACCAACACCTGTTTCCATTATAATGGACTGGCTGTTTTTCAGTTGGTCAAAATTTAATTGACATCTAGAGCAAAATTCAGCAAAGCTATATCATAGTTAATAAACTGAATATATTAGATATGCTCAAATTATTTTAGTAGACAGGCGTTATGTAATCTCTCCACTTAAAATACCAAAGAAACATGCAAGTCATGTATCACTGGGGCTCTTCTATAATTATAGTAAAACCGGTTTTTTTTTTTTTAAATATTGCAAATATATATGGATTTCTGGGCCAGTTTGCATGTGATAGCACACTACATGCTATAAATAATTTAGGATTTGCCATCGCTATGTACAAATTGGGTCATGAAGTGCCTGTGAAAATTTTAGGGGACCACAAAGTCTGATAAGTTAAACATGACCTTTCTGCTCATTCAGTGCAAACTTTGGGATGCATTCAACAGATAATTGTAGCACTAGGCACGATACTGAAAGTGCAACTCTGTGCATGTTTACTCAGACGACAGACACACCTGTTCTAGGCAAGTGTACATAGGATTGCAGACATATACATGTGTATGTCATAACTATGGCTCCGACGTGATCATTAGAATGAGAACTATTTTGCAATACTTTCTCTATGGGAGCATTTTGGCACACTGCATGGAAAATATTGTTGAAACTGCAAATACACCAAGTTTTTCCAAGGATAATAAATTTCCTGGAAAATTGATACGAATATTCAGGTCTGGTGCTTGAATTACTCCCCAATGTATTCCTGTAGATGGAAATTATAGAATAGCTCAAAACCTAGCAAGTGATGCATCCCTTTTTGTTTTGAACCATATTTATTTTGAATGGTTTGGAACTTTACGAACTCTCTCAAGGAAGCATCATATAACACTAGTGCTTGCATTATTATTAGAACTTTTAACATGTCATTCTTATCCCACAGAAACACACATGTTAATAAAATGCTTTTTGAGGAAAAATCTATTTAAATATAATTTTCTATTTAAGATAAATTATGGTTCAAATAGTATTGATCATGAAATAAGGATTAGTTTTTAATTATGGAGCATTATGGAGCTTTTTAATTATAAGCATGCAATGTTTATTTTTTTTTTTTTGCTAAATGAATTCCAGTAATCCATTCACAATGTCATGCTCCTCCAGAGGTTTCCTTAAGTTTAGCGGGCATTTTTTTCTAACTAGAAGAAGTTATCATGGATGCTTGGTTTTACAGTTCTCACAGCTGTGTGTGTCTACAGAGATCACATCTTTTCTCCACAGCAAAGGTGTTAGAAAATCAACGTAGAGTTGAGAAAAAGACCTCAATCCCATTGTTCCTTTGTAAATCTATGTACACAGAATCAGTCGCTTACCTCTTAAGTGTCAAGTTTCAAAAAATTCCATGAACACAGAAGATTATTGGGAGTGGAATACATACGCACAAGAAGTTAAGTGTGAGGAGGGAGGGGCTAGCAGTAAAAATGAAACTGAAAGCTTTTGAGCAGAATACTCCACAAGTCTTTAGATCTTTTTGTGTATAGACTGAGGTTCAGGGCTTTTTTTGTCATAGAACACACCTTTTTTTCAATGTATTTTACAAATGATTTTGGTAGCAGATCAGCAGCAAACATCATTAACATAGTGCCTGCAGGCTGCTATTGTGTCTGCTATCTGCTAGTGAGAGATAGCTTCTTGGGACGCTGCTCCTCTGGCTTGGGATTGGTGTGTGTGTGCTTACTGCTGGAGGTGGAGGCGACCCAGTGAGTTCTGGCACCTTTTGTTGTTGTTGTTGTTGTTTTTTACAAAAAAAGCACTGCTGAGGTTTATCATATTATTCTTTCCATAAAAGAGAAAACATATAATGGCAGCATGCTGTAAAAGAGACCCAGTTTGGGAATATTTTAATGAAGTTCCTCTACCTAAGGGTAAGGCATGCATGCACAAAAATTATGTAGAAGCCATGATTTAAATCCAGTCTTACTGACCGGAATCATAGAGTTAGGTAAAGGTAAAGGTTTCCCCTTGATGTTACATCCAGTCATGCCTGACTCTAGGGGGCGGTGCTCATCTCCGTTTCGTAGCCAAGGGAGCCAGCGTTTGTCCACAGACAGTCTTCGTGGTCATGTGGCCGGCATGACTAAACACCGAAGTGCACGGAACGCTGTTACCTGCCCACCGAAGTGGTGCCTTTTTATCTACCTGCATTTGCATGCTTTTGAACTGCAAGGTTGGCAGGAGCTGGGACGGAGCAAAACGAACTCATCCTGTTGTGCAGATTTGAACCGGCAACCTTTTGCTCAAACAGCCCAGCAGCACAGCGGTTTAAACCACTGCGCCACCTGCAGTCCCAATCATACAGTTAGAAGAGGCCTAAAACGCCATCTGGTCCAAACCCCCGCTCAAATTTCCCATCTAGATTCTAACCAGGCCTGACCCTGCTTAGCTAATCCAAAATTACATAGCATCAGGCACTTCAGGCTATATGGAAGCCTTTTTTATTGTATAACTAAGGATTGACTGTGCAAAAGACCTTAAAATTAATTGTGGGCAGGGGGATCTTGTGTAATGATGTCCATAATAGCAGAAATTCAGGCGTTTTTGATGCATTAAATCAAGACTTACAGCTCCACCATTCCACTCCAGTAGCCTCCCAGTATCACACAGAGCACAGCAATTAGAAAGATGAGCACCACACTGTAGAAATAGTCTGGCACAGGTGGTGAATAAAGTGCCACACTAACATTCTTTCCCAGAGTCTGAAAATTATAAATGTTCACGTTAGAAATGACAGAACAACAACTAGGAAGCTGCCAAATTATCCATTTGACTACTATGCATGGCTACTGTTTCTCATGACCAACAGACTTCAGGGATACGTATACTGATGTCTCCGAACAAGAGGAGAATTTTTACAGTCATATGGTCAAACCATCTGGCCATACTGCAAAAATCTCAATTAGATAGCATGCTTGTTTTGGAGGAAGCTGTTTTGGAGGCAGCCTCTCTTTTCATTTTTGTTTGAAGAACAAGTCGGGGCAGAGGAATCAGAAATTATTAATGTAAAACAGAAAGTCGAAGAAATGACTTGATATTTTCAGACAATGTCAATATAAGATTAATCCACAAAATCCCCATGTTGGAAATCCAAAATTAAAAATAAAACAAAGGGGATGCTAACCTGGTTTGCACAATAGGACAAGCCTGCTGTGACTTCATTTACCCGTAGGGCTGTCAAGTTGTGCCTGGGGCCTGTTGTATTTGCATGGGGGTCACAAGCACTAGGCTTTGCCGTGGCTTGTTGTATTGTGTGAACACAGGCTGTTTGAGGGTTAGGCAACTCCCAAATCCCCCCTGATTTTCTTTAAGGTATTTCAAGGTTGTCTAACCCTCACCCCTTGGATTTACATGACACTTCAAGCCATGGCTTGAGTATAGCTTCCATAGAGCCTGAGGTGCCAGATCCTGCCTAATCCTGGAAGTTAAGCAGGGTTGGGTCTGGTTGAAACCTGGACAGGAGACTTGTATGTTGTGAACTGCCCAGAGAGCTTCACCTACAGGAAGCAAAAATGGCACATGGCAGCAGCTAACATGACAAGACATCCCTTGTCTATAAATTAAGTTATAATGTTCTGCAAAGCAGAGCGCTGCCTTGGAGATAAGATTTCATTGCTTTGATCATTTAAAATCAATTTTAAAATCTTTAAAACAAGACTTCATTGTTTCATTTTATTGCTGTTAGTATTGTATACTGTGATTATTGTATATTTTAATTCTGTGAACCACCCTGAGAGTCTTTTCTGGTTGATGGGTGGTACAGAAATTAAATAAGATAGGAATAAGAAAATATATGTATTGGATTGGATTTCAAGTGGATTTCAAGTGATAAAATTATAAAAGGTGGGAGAGAAGGGACCTAACTATAAAACCAATACATACCATTTCTAAGATGTTCATACATTTTTATTCATAAAAAGCAAACAAGTAATCCTGAACAGTACTTACCTGTTTCAAATCAATTATATCCTCATTTCTTATAAGCGCAATCGGAATGTTGATACTTTGGTTCTTATTACCAAAAGGTATATGCTAGAAAAAGGAAAGTCATCATGTATCGGTTTTTCTGGCCCAATCAATGCACTCTGTACCTAAAACCCAGAGAAAAATGCCCCCCGCGTGTCCCAAACTACAGACGGGCACTGCAAACTAACACCTTTCCACGTATCTCCCAGATAATTGGTTAATAAAAGTGCTGGGATGCAATATCCCCTCACATAGCTCTATAAACTACAAATTACCAAGGAGCAACATGGAGTAAATATGAGTAACTGGCAGCCATGTATTCCCCTTTTAATATGCAGTTTGTGCCTCACTTGTCTTCCAAAACTCCTATATCAGATTCCCTCAAGAGTATTGCTAGAAGTGGCTTTTCCCAGGCATTCTCTTGCTACTGGAAATCTACTGGGCATTTACTTATATTTACTAAATAGATAAATTCAAAAAGTATGCAGTGTAGTATAATATAGGCAAAAGTAATACAATGAAATATAGTGTATTTTTTAAAAACTTGACATTTCCAATATAACATCTCATGTGCATTTCTTCCCTCAATCTCACTCAAAGTCATGGTAAGAGACATGGTAAGCTGAAGGCTTGTATTTGACTCCCTCCCTTTTACTCTTCTTTTGCACCAGTGAGAAGAAAAAAAGCTTCTGCTTTCCATTTTAAACCAAACACATTTTCACTTGGAAGCTGAGATGGGGGCAATTGCAACATCTTGTTTCAAGGAAGAAGTGGAAAACTTGTGACTCTCCAAACGTTCTGAATTCCCGTGAACCCTCACCACTGGCTATGCTGCCTAGAGCTGATGGGAGCTGAATGCCAAAATATTTGGAGGGCCACAAGCTGCACACTCCTAATTTAAATCATCAAAAAAAGAAGTCTATTTAAATTAAGCTTTCCATTAAAACCCTTTGCATATTTCCCAAGCAATGGAGCAACTGTGACTATTAAAACCATGTTATCTCTTTATCTCAATGCATGTTTTGCACGCTTTGTTCATACATACGCAGAGAATATCCCCATACAGAATCTTTCTTCTGATCAGCACCCTTGACTGTGTGCAGTTTACAGCACAGCCCCATGCTTTTGAATATGTTTGACTGAGTTCAATGAAGCTTAGTCCCAAGGCAAGCAGTGGAGGCTGGTAGCTTCAATGTCAGTAGGACAATATATCCACTCTGTGCTTTAGTCCAAACTTTGAAAGAGCAATCCATGGTGCTGAACCCAATCTCCTACCTGCCCCTGCCACAGAATAACTTAAGTACCACAGACAGTTTCTTTAAAAATTCAGACGGTGGTGCAGCGGGATACACTGCCTGCCCCATCAACCTCCACTGCAGAAAGTGGTGACAGGACTACAGCCTGGGTATGGGAACATTGTAAGACAAACACTGGTCAGTTTTGTTTTGTTTTCTCTTTTTCTATGATTCCTCCTTTCTGCTCTATTTAGTCTGTTCCCATTCCCTTGGTCTTGGGGCTGCCTTCTCCAAGCAGGTACCCTCCTGATGGTTTGGATGTCAAGTTGTATCAGCCCCAGCCAGCATGGCCAATGGACAGGATGCCTAGGAGCTGGAGCTCAAAATACTTGGAGCACACCAGGTTGGGGTTTATTTAATTACATTTCTTAACTTCCCAATAGCTGAAACATTAGCTGGAATAATACAGTGCAGCAACAATGCAGAAACTAAGCAGGTTAAGGTCTTGTTTGTGTCCAGCCAGGAGGCTACTTGGTAACCCTGTGCCCATCTCTCTGAGTGCTATGATGAATGGAAGGTGAGATACAGAACTAAGAGTTAAGCCATATAAATTGTGCATGTCTATTCAAAAAGACTTCCTTTACAGTCTTTTAGACTGTAGATGTAAAGGCACAGAGGGTTACTTTCATTACTGATCTTATCTACGCTATTCTTGCAGCCATGTGGGCTGAAGTATTTATTGAAAATGCTTTAAATAAAGAACATTTTCCTTTAACTTGCAAGTAAAACTGAGCAAATGTTTTATCATTCCTTGATTAAGATTTGGTAGGGACAGAAGGACTGGATACAATCTTCTCAAGGACCAAAACTAGCTTATGAACTGCCAGTTGACCAACCCTGATCTAGCAATATCCTTAGTGAAAAATCACAGAGCTGCTAGAAAAATAATAAAGCAACATTTTATAAAACATAACTGCCATACATAAACAACCATGGAGAGTAAAACTTACTATAGGAGTTTCACTGGCAATCAGCAACATTTTAGCATGAAAATGTTGAGCGATTTCTGCCTTTTCCAGAAAAGTGCAGTTTCCTCTCATTACTACAATGGCTTTGTCCTTGATAATATCAGCCTGAGGAACATCAGATTGACTGCAAAGCAATTTAGGAGTCAAGAATGCCAGTTTTGTATAAACCTAAAAGACAAAAACACCCTCTAATATTTACCACAAGAAGTGCAATAGAATTCTGCAATGTAGCAAAAACGTATATTTTCAACCATTTCATAAATTTACTATGTTATAAATTCATTTATCGTATTGGTATAGCAGTTTTCAGAAGTCAATCAAGACAGTTTACAAAAAATTCACAACATAGAGCACTTCAACAAATACATTGTAAAATATTTAAAAACATTTTAAAAACAAAACTATTTTAAAAGCCATGTGTTTTGACTTCCACCCAGAACAGAAAGTTCACCTTACCATGAAACGGTGCTCTAGCCAGCAAGGTTTATAGCAGGCAGGAAAACATTAACTCATACTTCCATGGAAGGCAGGGCCAATTAGACCAGACTTGTATCTACCCAGAAGGGAAGAAGCAGTCTCAGTTGCCGATGCTGCTCCAGTAGAGAAAGAACTTGAAAAAAGTATCTTTTAACTGACCAATTTGATTAGAGCCAATGTGGCCAGAGAGATTAGAATGTTGGCCTGATACTAGGGAGACCCAGCTTCTAGTCTCCATTTGGCCATGGAACTGACTGGATTAATTTTCAGCTAGTCACTTCCTCTCAGTCTAATCTAATTCACAGTGTTGTTTCAAGGATATAATGGAGAGGAGTATTACACAGGCCACTTGCAGGAAAAGGTAGGGTATAAAAATAATAAAGAAGAGAAAGCTAACATTAGAGGGTTTCTAGCAGCATCACTAGCCAGCTATAGAATACTACTACATGAATAAGAAAATTAATTCCTGTCCAGATCAAAAGCATACACAATATGGGTGGGAATGCCTGCTCCAAATCTTGGAAAGCAGAACGTCACGTAATGTAAGACTATCTTTCCATGCCTGGTCAGGATATACCAAAGTTATGTAGCTTGAGGGCAAGTCAGATTGCACTTGTTACAAACTTGCTATAGACTCTACATTCAAATTAGGCTTTTGCGGCCGCAAATGTGTATATTTTGAAATGGCAGATGAACACATAAAGGGACCGTCATGTTGCCGCCTTCTCATGGCAAGGATGTTCACAGCGCCACTGAAGTTGCGGTGCTCCTAACAGAATGTGCAGTTATACCTTCGCATGCAATTTGTGCCAAAACTGCCAATGTGATACTCTCACAGATCCATTAGCTAAGAATAACTTTCTTTCCCTCTTCCCCCTACCTGTAAGAGAGAAATAGAGCACCAGAATGCCTAGTTTCTTATGTTCACCTAACGAATACACAGGATGCTCTCTGCATTCAGGCCTGTGGCACCACTTTAAGATGGATACAAATGATCATCGGCAAAATATCAGACAGCACTATTCCTGAAATGCAGAGATAACCTTAGGTATGTATCCTTGGTCAAGGTGAAACATTACTCTGCTTGATAGATTTCTTCTCAAACTTGCACAACTCCTAGTTACCATAGCTCTTTGGTAGAAAATATGAAGGGGCCCTTCCCTGTGAATTCCTGGATAAAAATGGAAAGAGAAGGGGCTTGAATGGCACATCCATGAAAGCTTCCAGAATCAATGGATAATCCCATAATGGAACTCTATTAATTTTATGTGGAAAGACTGCATGCTATAGGTAACGGTGGATTTGGGAATGGCTTCCCACATGTTTTAAGGGCACTAGTTATGGCTAAGAAATACTGGACATAACAGGAATCCATACCTGCTTTAAAGCATTTGCTGATGTTCATACAATCTTTGGAGCAACTTATATGCCATAACAAATGCCTATGTCTGCAGAATAATACTTTCCGCTTTTTCTGAGAATTCCTGCTCTAAAATTTGTCTCCTGTAAACCTCTAGATGCAGAGATGGATCCAGGTGAAGAATCAGACACTGGGATATGAAATCCAGTAGAACTGGACGTTTTGATAATGGGTTCCCATGAGGACCAGGCCCTTCTAGGCAATACAGAACTATCATCATCATCACTGATCATACAGAGCTGTGCCTGAACACAGTGCATCTAATCACATCTGCCTAGAGTTCTTGAACCTTTCTGCTTTCCTGTTTGATCTTGAGAAGATTGTTGGAGAGAGTTACGGAGGATATCACATCATGTCCAAGGTACTGACAGATTTCCCAAGTAGGGTTCCTCTGTCACCACAACTAAGGAGCATAACTGCCAACAAACACTGAAGCATTAGCTGTGCCTAGTTCTGAAAGAAACAGGAATGGAGAGCTGCGCTTAAGGGGTTTTTTTGGCTGCTTGGAATAAATAAAAATGGTTATTTTTGAAACAATGGCCATAACAAGACAGAAATTACAGGGTCTAAGGAATGCAAGCAAGTAGAAATGCCTGCCTAGCCTTGTGTCAGACATCTGAACAAAAATCAAAACATAAAAAGATAAAGTCACTGCTCCCAAGTCTAAATGTAGGAGTCACTGATTGCTCCAGCTCTCCTGTGGAAAGCAGAGACAAGGCAGAGATGGGTTCCTCCCCTTCCAGGTGGATACAAGTCTAATCAGACTGTCCCTGCCAATCTGGAGTTACCTATTTCCTGGCTGCTCCACACCCTTGCTGATCAAAGGGTGTGCAATTCAGAGTTTAGGAGTAACACATAAGGAAGACTTTTTCCTGCCTAACAAGCAGGAATGTTTTCAAATGGCGTCTCCTGCTAGTTTTAATAACTAAGCAGAATCACACCAAGGCAGGAGTCTAGGACAGCAAACTAGCTCAACATTTCCCCCAAATAAAATTTGCTTGACTCTTAGGAAATATTGGAATAGAATTACTTACGATGTTGTTTAAGGTACTGGGAAGGGTGCTCCAGTTTCTGTTATAATATATACAGTACTCTTTTGTTAACTGAGTATCACTGTTCTTAAATACATGCAAGATTCCTTCTTGGGCACTCACCTGTAATTTAAAAAGATTATTTAATGAAGCATACTTGCAAATTATGAATAAATAATGGTGATTTATTCAAAAGGATTCAAGATTATGCATTGACATCAGGTATTCCTTTGACAAATCCTTTCTTATATAAACTACCTTGTCACCAGGAAAACAACCATGTGTTGAAATGAGCTTCAGAATATTTTCACCCAACTGATATTTCCCCAAGTAATTTCAAGATTAACAAGCATTTTTAAAACAAGAAGGAACAGCCTGTAACATTGGGCGTAAGAAGCCCATAACAGCCCATACTTTATATAGAAGAATTTATTGTGTAATTTGCACACAGGCACTCCATAAGATGGACAACTACATTTTGGTTGTGATGTGGCTGCTTGATTTTAAAACCTCTTTTATTATTATTTTATTGGTTAGACTGCTTCTCCCTGCTTTGGGAAACTGTAAGGGGTGTAACTGTAAGCCTTGGCTTACAACTTAGCTGCTTTCATGCTCTTGATTCCCAGCTTCATACTATCATTGGACTCAAAGGTAACAATTTGTGTAGAAGTCCCAAACCACCTGTATGGTTTTTACAGTTTAAGCCCTATCACCTTGATGTATGGAATTTTCTCTTTGTTGTACAAGGCAAATAGTTCTTTCAATTAGCTTTCCCCAACCCAGTGCGCCTTCCAGGTGTGATGGATCACAACTCCCAGATTTCCCAGGACAGGGAAGGTTACTTCAGGGAAATAAAGTGACAACAGGAGGGTCCAAAGAAAGAACAAAGGAACTGTGACCCTAGAATTGTGGAATAAACACCAGAGTGGAGCCTTCTAACTTGCTAGAAAGGTGTGTGAGGAGTGTTCTTGGAGACAAAATTAACCCTGTGTGAACAGGAGAATTTGTGAAGAAATGATGGAAGGAAAAAGGGTTTAATTGTCTTCCACCCACAACAACCCTTCTCCAAATTGCTCCATCTGAGGTTGCTTTTGCTAATAAAAATAACTGCCAAGGTTCCTCAATTTGTTCTTGCAAATATAGCAAATTACTGTTATGCATATACAGTTATGCCTTCATGTAAGAATAATAAAAGCAGGTTGCTTACCTGTAACTGATGTTCTTCGAGTGGCCATCTGTGCAGTCACACATATGGGTGCTGCGCCTGCGCAGTGCCTTTGGCCGGAAGATTACAAGCTAACGGATTTTGGCGGGAAAAGCTCTGCTCCCCCTCCCCCATGGCCTATAAAGAGTGGAGCATCCGCCATTTTGTTCAGTCTTTGACGACCGAACATACGCCCCCATGTGGAAAAATATCCCTACTGTAAATGATATCGGTACCAAGAAAAAATGGAAACGTTCAGTACTGACGAAAATGTCCACTCACTGACACCGAGCAGGGCCGGCGGGTGGGTTGTGTGACTGCACAGATGGCCACTCGAAGAACATCAGTTACAGGTAAGCAACCTGCTTTTCTTAGTCGTGGCCTCTGTGCATCACACATATGGGTAGATTAACAAGCTTACCATAATGGAGGAGGGGAGGTGTCCTCAATGAAGAACAGATGAAAGAACGGCTCTGCCAAAGGAGCAATCTTGTCGAGCCCGAACATCTAAATGATAATGTTTGGCGAAAGTGCAAGGGTTCGCCCAAGTAGCAGCTCGACATACATCATCAATCAGGACGCCCGATGCGAAGGCAGATGAGGCAGCAATAGCCCTAGTCGAATGACTTCGAGGAGTTGTGGGTAAGTCAATCTTAGCCAGATGATAGGATAAAGTGATAGTATGGACTATCCACTTGGAAAGTCTCTGCGGAGTGACTGGAGCGCCTTGATCTCTGGTAGAATATTTAACAAATAGTCTATTTGAGCGCCGAACAGATTCCGTCCTAGATCTGTAGAAGGCTAAGCAGCGCCAAACGTCAAGTGAGTGCAACGATCTTTCTAACGGAGTCGACGGAGACGGAAAAAAGGCAAGTAAGATAATATCTTGTCCCATATGAAAAGGTGTGGACACCTTAGGAAGAAAAGATGGATCGAGCCACAGGATGACCTTTTTTCTGTGAAAATTTAGGTAAGGAGGGTCTATGCGGAGAGCGCAGAGCTCACTGGCCCTTCGGGCCGAGGTAACCGCCACTAGAAACACTGTCTTCCATGAAACAAGATGTAAATCGACTGTTGCCAATGGTTCGAAAGGAGCTCTTGTAAGCGCTTGCACAACAACAGAGAGACTTCAGGTAAGCTTTACTGGCCTGATTGATGGATTGAGATTATAAAGACCCTTAAGAAACCTCTTAATAGTAGGTTGAGAGAAGATGGGTGATCCGTCCACCATGCCATGATGATAGGCGATTGCCGCCATATACACTTTAATTGAAGATGGTGTCAGTCTGGAGTGGTGCAGTTCTAATAGGAACTGAAGAATTTAATGTATCGATGATGTAAATGGAGAGAACGAATGAGACTCGGCAAAGGTGGAAAATCGTCTCCATTTAGCCACGTAGGACTTCCGCGTAGATGGCTTTAAAGCGGAATCAAGGATGTGTTGAATATCTGGATGAAAGGTTGTCGGATTTGATGGAACAATCCTCGGATCTGACAGTGCTGGAGGATCAAAAGAGGAAGCAGCGCCAACCCCAGCGGATTCGAAGGCAGGATTCGAACCACTTGAAGTTGCCGTCGATACAGATGGAGCAAAGTTAGCTATTGGATTCGCCATGCTGTTAGGTTCAACGATAGTACATCTGGATGGCGAAGCATACCGTCCTGTTGGGTTATGAGGTACAGAAGCAGTGGAAGATGAAGGTATTCCCCGTGAGGGATGTCGAGCAGTGTGGCAAACCAATGTTGGCGTGGCCACCAAGGGGCAATTAGTATTCCCGTGGCCCGATCGTATACTATCTTCACTACCACTCTCATCACAAGAGGAATCGGCAGGAAGGCATAAAAGTTCAGGTTGTTCCATGGGATCATGAAGGCTTCCCCTAGGGATCTGTACCCGATTCCCGCTCTCAAACAGAAAGCATTGCACACCTTGTTCTGTTGGGTGGCGAACAAGTCCACATCAGGAAACCCCCAGCGATAAAAAAGAATGTCGCATGTCTGAGGATCTAGCTCCCATTCATGAGAGATGAACATGCGCCTGCTGAGGAGGTCCGCTTCCACATTGTCCGTACCAGCCAAATGGACTGCCATTAGTGTAATGTTTCTCGAAATGCACCAGTCCCAAATCTACATAGAAAGTCTGGCCAGAGTTGGGGACTTCGTTCCGCCTTGTTTGTTCAGATAAAAGACAGTGGCTATGTTGTCCGACGTTATCTGAATGACCCGGTGTTGGAGAACATCCTCGAAAAAACGGAGGGCTTTGAATACCGCCAACAGCTCCAGGAAGTTGATATGATTCGTGGATTCCCGATGAGTCCACGTGCCCTGGGTATATAGGCCGGAACATACCGCTTCCCACCCCAGAAGAGACGCATTGGTACCAAGGGTTATCGATGGGCATCGGGGCCTGAAGGAAACCCCAACAGTCAGACTGGCCGGGACCGACCACCATAGTAGAGAATGGAGCACCGAGGATGGGATTCGAAGCAACTTCGATGGTGGGTCTCTCTGTGGGTGGAACATCTTGTTGAGAAATAGTTGTAAAGGACGAAGTCGAAGTCTGGCATGTGGCACCACAGCAACGGAGGAAGCCATATGTCCCAGAAGCCTCTGGATGGACTTTGCTAGAACCGTCCCATCTCGTTGCATTCGATGGATGTGGCGAGTGAGAGTCTGTTGTCTGTCCTGAGGAAAGAAGGCTTTTTCCAGCTTCGAATCCAAATGGGCTCCAATGAATGTAAGCGTCTGCATCGGAAGAAGAGAAGATTTCTTGGTATTAATGCATAGGCCCAGATCATCTAATAAGGCACAGGTTGTACGGATGGATGTGAAGAGTCCTTCCCTAGACCGGGACACCAGAAGCCAGTCATCAAGGTAAGGGTAAACTTGTATGCCTTGGAGGCGTAGGAAAGTGCAGACAGGGGCCATACATTTGGTGAACACTCTCGGAGCGGTGGCCAGACTGAAGGGTAGAACTGTAAATTCATATAAATCGGGTGCAACAGCAAAGCGAAGGAAATGCCTATAACTGGGATGAATCGAAATGTGGAAATAGGTGTCCTTCAAATCCAATGAGGCGAACCAACCCTCTTTCCTTAGCAGCAGCAAAATATTTTGAAGGATGGTCATTCGAAACTTTTTTGTCATGATGAATCGATTCAGATTATGTAAGTCCAAAATTGGATGTAGGCCACCATCCCGTTTCGGGACTGTAAAATATCTGGAGTAGAATCCGTGGAGTCTGTCAGGTGGAGTTACTTGACGAATTGCTCCTTTACAAAGAAGTTGTTGTATTTCATCGAGCAATACCGGCGAGCGTGATGTAAACTGGATCGGACTCGATGGAGGAACGATGTCAAATTTTATCCGATAGCCATGTTGTATGATGGATAATACCCACCGGTCAGATGTGATGGACTCCCAAATGGGGAGTCGGCTTCTCAGCTGGTTCCCAGATGAGAGGGGGGTGGGTATGGAAGGGGTCAGAGGAATGGTTCACCAGTCCCGTCAATGCTGCCTCCTATCTCCGTCATAACAGCGACAGCCCTGCTGATAATGTTGCAGGGGCTGTTGCCTAGGCTGATAAGATTGTCTATAGGATGAACGGGTCCATGCCCACTTACGCCTAGGTTGAGTCTGAAGCTCCATCCGCCGGGCCGTCATGCGGGACTCATGGAGTTTTTTCAGCTTGTGGTCAGTTCTGGAGTGGAAAAGCCCAGACCCGTCAAACGGCATTTCCTCAATTCGCCACTTAGTCTCCTCCGGGAAGTTGGAACTCCTTAACCAGGCATGTCTGCGGAGAGAGACAGCACCAACCAAGGCTCTTGAGTCAGTCCATATGATGCGTGGCTGTGGACAACTGCTGGACGGCAGCCTGCATCGCCTCCTTTATCAGCACCTTCACCAGATCACCCTGGTG